CCCACGTGCCTTGTTCGGGCTGTGCCCGACCAGGCCCCATGGGTATAGGCCTGGCCACCAGGCGCTCGCCATCGAGCCCCAACCCCAGGCCTGGCTCCAGGGGGGGGCCCCGGTGACCCGCGTCCGGGCAAGGGAAAACGTGTTTCACACGTATTGCTTTAAAGGTGAATACGTGCTTGTGTACCAGTTATGTGCATTCCTGTTTATAAATATAATTTTAAAAGTTTAAAATGGTGCAAAGGTGACATTAAAACAATATCTAAACATGGTTGACATCATCCCACCACCAGTACAGTATGCCTGAAATATTGGTAAAGCGTACAGGCCCAAAGGGTAAAGGCCTATCGACCAATTCACTGAACGTCCTAGTCATTGGAATGGAACTCGGTCATTAAGATTGGAGTGTCTGTAATGTGCATTTGACATTTTAAAATAATTTTATTAGCTCCAATAGTCAGAACTGTATGTGTTTATCATCCAAAGAAGACGCTGCTGAAACAAAATAATTACATTTTAGGAGGATGTAGTAGTGAAACACTTTACACCAAATCACTGGCTTAAACATTTTAGCATTTAGAATGCCAGCAAATAGGACCTTTTATTGGGCCAGTAATAGGCAGCCACTGATCACCAGTTCTGACCTGAAAACGCATAGTAGTTGCTCTGTACAAACTGGCAACCTGTGCCGACTATAGAGTAGTGGGAGAAACATTCAGTGTTTACTGTAGGAAATGCACATGATAAAAGTCCTGTCACCTGTCTGAACTTATGTATAAATGCCGTAATTTCTCATAATAGAACTATAGTTGGTTGCTAAATGTCAAGTGTCGACAAAGCCTTTATTCACTAAAATTAATTTGGAAAAGTTTAGTGTTAAATGCTAAAATGATTTCATTGCCCACTTCTAAGTGTTAAACTGTTTTTGTACATAAAATCTCTTGGATTGGAAACCTGACTTCTGACATGCATGTCCATGCCGATAGGCTTTCATGCAGTGCCCTGCAGAGCTTGTCTACCAGGAGGTCATTCTGCAGCCGGAGAAGATGGTTCAGTGGAACAGGACAATCTCAGGCTGTCAGGTACGCTGCACACTGTCCCGCCTCTTCATCATCATCATGATTATCGCCAGCACTGTCATGATCTGTATGAGCAGCTTGGCAGCAGAGTGCCTCCCGGAAGCTGGGCAGTCATGGGGGTGATACTTATATTTATTGTGTTTTCTCTGACATATAAGTAGTTGGTCTGTATGTAATCCCTACTGTCTGGCTACCTCGTCATTTTATGTAAATGGTGTTTGCTGTGACCCTTGCCATTACTTAAAATGACCATTGCTGTAACTAGATCTCCCCTCTTATGGGAAGTGAGATGTGTAACCCAGGCCCTACTCACCTTACTTCTCAGATTCTGCAGCGTGTGGATGACAACACCCTGGTGTCATATGACATCTCTTCTGGCGCAGCAGGGGGCGTTGTCTCCCCCAGGTATGTCAGCTTGGCTCCACCAGGGGTAATGCAACTGCGTGGTCATTCTGCAACGCTGTACTTAGTGTTTTCCATGTTTCTGCTGCCCATAACAGAGACTTTGTGAATGTACGACGAGTAGAGCGGCGACGTGATCGCTACATGTCGGCAGGAATGGCTACCATTCATGAGGCCAAGCCTCTACACAACTGCTATGTCCGGTAAGTCACTTCCTGTGTCTTCACACCCAATCGCAAGTGTAGTATATGGGCAAAAGTACTGGGACACCTTGCCCTTACACCTACAGGAACTTTTATGACGTCCCATTCTAAATCCATAGGCATCAATATGGAGTTGGTCCCCCCTTTTCAGCTACAACAGCTGCTACTCTTCAGGGAAGGCTTTCCACAAGATTTTGAAGTGTGTCCGTGTTATATTTTGCCCATTAAACAGCATTTGTGAAGTTAGACACCTCAGACAAGTTGGACATGAAGGTCAAGATTGCAAACTCTGTTCTACTTCATCACAACAGTGTTAGATAGGGTTGAGGTCAGGGGTCTGTGTGGCCAGTCAAGCTCTTCCACACCTAACTCACCCAACCATGTCTGCTGGCACCGCTTTCCATTGTGTCGTGTTCCACTGTTACAGGGAACTGTGAACCTAGCCTAAAGCCCCCCATACATTTACAGATGCACTGCCGATTTTTCGGCCGTTCAACGAGTCATCACGCGTCAAACGGCTGAAAAATCATCTGGTGTGTTCTCAGCTCCGTCGGCTCCCCTTCGCTATGCGCTAGTGAAGGGGGCCGAAGGAGCCGAGAACACAGATCTCCCTACCTGTCTCCAGCAGAGGCTCGTTCATGGGGAAGGCCATTTTCTGTGCCAGCAGACATGGTTGGGTGAGTTAGGTGTGGAAGAACATGGTTATGTTCTTATGTTCTGCTGATCAGCTGGCCGGTGAGTGACACAATGCACTAAACTTCCGGCTGGCTGACAGAGGAGACAGCCACTGCAGCAGACAGAGTAGAAAATACATTAGCATAGTATATACATACAGAGGAGTCGGAGTCGGAAGATTTAGAAACTGAGGAGTCGGAGTCGGAGCATTTATCTACCGACTCCACAGCCCTGCAGAGAAGTGTAATTTGTCACTCCACTGCTCCAGAGTCTAGTAGTGGCATGCTATACTCCACTCCATCCGACGCAAGGCATCATGCTTGGTGATGTGAAGCTTGCATGCAGCTGCTCAGCTATGGAAGCCCATTCCATGAAGCACTCAGTGCACGGTTTTTGTGCTTGGTTTAATGCCAGAGGAAGTTTGAAACTTATTGAATCAACAGTGTGTTGGCAACTTTTACTCCCTGTGTGCCTCAGTCAAAGTCAAAGTAAACTTTGTTGTCATCTCAGCCATATACAAGTATACAGAGAGACAAAACTGCGGAGCTCAGGGTCCACAGTGTGACAAATATCTGTTCAAAAATGACAGTAAAAATTAAACAGAAAAAAATAAATGAAATAGAAAAAATAATAAACAACACAAGGCATTGTGCTAAGCCATATAGGTCAGTGCAATACTAAGACAAAAAGTGGTAAGCAATAAGAACACAAGAAATTTACAAACGAGAGTTTGGGGAGAACTTAACTAATAGCTCAGAGTTGTTAAAATCTTATCTAGCTCTGATTTAAAGGAACCCAGGGTTTTAATCTGCACTACTTGAACAGGAAGACTATTCCATACTCTAACTACACACTGTATAAAGAAGTGCTTCATCAAATTCGTTTTAAAATGTTCTCCCACTAATTTCCACGTATGGCCACGAGTTCTAGTATTTAAACTAATATTGAAATAGCCATTTGGCTGAAAAGCATCCAGACCTGTTAGAATCTTATATACTTGGATCATGTCCCCCCTTAGTCTCCTTTGCTCAAGGCTAAACAGATTCAGCTCAGCTAACCTTTCCTCATAAGACATTCCTCTAAGACCAGGAATCATTCTTGTAGCCCTACGTTGCACCCTTTCCAAGGCAGCAATGTCCTTTTTAAGGTATGGTGACCAAACTTGCACACAATATTCTAGGTGAGGTCTTACCAAGGAATTGTATAATCGTAGCATCACCTCCCTTGACTTAATCTCCACACACCTAGAGATGTAACCTAACATCCTATTGCCCTTTTTAATTGCTTCCCTACACTGGCGAGAGTGGGACATGGAAGCATCAACATACACTCCGAGGTCTTTCTCATAATCAGCTACCTTATTTTATGGGTTCCACTGAAAATATCTGCACTTTATATTTCTGCTCCCTGCATGGATTACCTTACATTTATCTACGTTAAATTTCATCTGCCAGGTGTCAGCCCAGTCGCTAATTAAATCCAGATCATATTGTAGCCTCTGTGCTGCTAGTTTAGTATCTGCCACACCACCCACCTTGGTGTCGTTTGTAAATTTAACCAGTTTACTGTATGCATTAGTGTCAACAAACAAACAACAAACAAATTTATTTTTGTATAGCGCATTATCACAACATTACATTGTCTCAAAGCGCTTTACAGCATCCCCACCCAAAGCCCCCAGTGGTGACAGTGGCAAGGGAAAAACTGCCTAGAAGGAAGAAACCTTGGGAGGAACCAGACTCAAAGGGGGAGCCCATCCTCCAGGGGCCGGCAGGGAGAGTCAAATACAGTTAAATCTGAAACACAAACGGGGAGCAGGGGGGAGATGACAAGCCGGTGCCACCACTCCCTCCAATCACCAGGCAGCCAGAAGGCAGGGAGTGGGTCAAACAAGGAAGATGACACAGGCAGAACGGCGGGCTGGATGCACGGTCGTCATTGGTAGTGGCGACGTCACATGTTGCAGGGTGTGCTGGACATCTTGATAGATTGAGGGCTCCAGGCAGCACCCCCCAGGAGAAGGTGGTGGAAATAAATGCAATTAGTCAAAGTAAGGGAGACTATAGGCAGTGCTAAAAGGTAGATGAGTGCAATATGAAGTGCAATGCTCTGGCAGATATGGCTATGGCAGCATAAGTAGGAGGGAGAGGCAGGTGGGAATGCAGGCATGGGGAGTCCCTGAAATGTCTGCACTCCAATCCCACAAGCAATTGTGAAGCTAGAGTGACAGCACTGTCAATTCAGTTTATCCAAAGCCAATGGCACCGATCCCCACCCAGCTCTACACCTCACACTATAGGTATAATTGGGAGTGAGAAGTTAGCTAGAGCTAGAACTAGTGTCCCTATAAGCTAAACTAAATAGGTGTGTTTTTAGTTTAGACTTGAATATTGAGAGTGAGCCTGAAACCTGCACATCCGGTGGAAGACCGTTCCACTGCTGAGGGGCTCTGTAGGAGAAAGCTCTGCAGCCTGCCGTATCTCTTTCTACCCTAGGTACTAACAGATATACCGCACCTTGAGATCGAAGCAAGCGTGGGGGGTTGTATGTGGTCAGCAGATCACTAAGTTATTCTGGTGCAAGGCCATTCAGTGCTTTATAGGTTAATAGCAGTATTTTATAGTCAATCCGAGACTTAACTGGTAACCACTATCATTAATATAAATTAAGAACAGTAGTGGTACTAAAATTGAACCCTGCGGTACCCCACTATGCAGGCCCACTGTGACATTGTGTCTCTAATAACTACCCGTTGCTTCCTGTCAGTTCCTAAAACCCCTGCAGCTTTGAGCTTAAGGAAGAGCCGTTTGTGGGCGACAACATCAAAGGCCTTCTGCAAATCTAAGATGATCATGTTGTAGGCCTTTTTATGATCAATTTCTCTTCTAGCTTCCTCAAAGAACTCAAATAGATTAGTTAAACAAGATCTACCTCTCCTAAATCCATGTTGGCTGTCCCTCAGAGTGTTATTTGAATCCAGGTAATCTGCCATTTTCCCTTGGATTATAGCTTCCATTACATTTCCAGTTATGCAAGTTAAACTGATTGACTTATAGTTTGCTGAATTACTTCTATCCCCTTTTTTGAATATGGGTGCTATATTAGCATGCTTCCAATCAGAAGGTACCACACCAGTAGATGAGTATTTCTGAAATAGTAATGTTAAAGGTTGGCCAATAATATCCCTCATCTCTTTTAAAACTATAGATAAGATGCCATCAGGGCCCTGCAATTTATTTATTTTGCGCTTAGCTAGGCTTTGTACCACATCAGCCTCATTTATACATGTATTGGTCATAGACGACGCTGTAATTGTAATGTGGTGGCAAGTTACTTGTGTCCTCTACTGTGAACACCCGTGTAAAATAATTATTGAATTCTTTTACTATGTCATTTTCACTTTCACCCTTACTATCCTGCAGATTAATGATTTCAGCTTTTAGAGCTCTTTTGGAGTTAAAATATTGGAAGAAACTTTTAATGTCATCCTTAGCCTCCAATGCAGTATTCCTTTCTACATTCCTCTTAATGAGTCTAATGTTATTTTTTAACTCAACCTGTAGACTTAGATACTGCTGCTTATTTTGAAATCATTAGTTAATTTCCATTTGTGGAAGAGAGCCTTTTCCTCCTGACTATTCTTAATGTCCATGGTAAACCACCTTGGCTGCAGTTTCCTAGATTTAGTTTTGCTGGAAACAGGTATGAAGTCCTCATGCACTTGCAACAATGTGCTTTTAAAAAATTCTCTTCAACAGTTTTGCTGTTTAACTCCATCCAGTTTACAGTGTCTAGTTTCAATCTCATTCCATTAAAGTTAGCCTTCCTAGCCTTTTTGTTTTGGACTTTGCTCTTCGGACACTAAAATTAATCTCAAATTTAATCATGTTGTGATTATTCCTGTCCAGTGGTTCTAAAACCTGTAATTTTCCAATCCTATCCTGGTTGTTAGAAAAAACAAGATCAAGAAGGCCTTCTCCCCTGGTAGGGCTATTAAGAAACTGAGTAAAAAAAGAATCCTGTACTAATTCCACCATCTCAAGTTCATTTACAGAAGAGACAGTCCCACTGTATCCCAGGTAAATTAAAATCACCCATAACCACCACATCATTTTTATTACTCATAATCCTGATATCGTCATATAACATTCTGCTTTCCACTGCAGCAACATTAGGTGCTCTATAACAAACACCGACATTAAGGCCATTTGAGTTTTTAGCATCTAGTTTTACCCATACAGATTCTGTACTTTTATTTTTATCAGTGAGCTACCTTGCCTGCAAGTTTTCTTTTACGTATACAGCAACACCACCTCCCTTCTTGC